TTAATATATAATGCTGTTGTTAAGAGAACTTCTAATGTTGCTCCCCTCCCACCTTCTCCAAGTAGATGCAATTCATCCACAACTATAAGACCAATCTATAATTGTTCAAGTAAATATTATGTCATAGTTTTATTATTATATTATAATAATGATAGTAATATTATATTATAATAATGATAGTAATATTATATTATAATATTACATGTCTTATACTTTTTATTAGCATACTATTACCTACTTCATTGAAACGATCTGCTTCAATTAAACTGTTGATTAAACCCAATGCCTTTTCTATGGTGCACATATATATAGAATTCTTTTTTCTGCGTTTTTTTGGTGGATAGTGGCCTCTAACTCCTGCATACTCCTCAATCAAAAAATTTAATTCTAAAGCAAACGGTGCCATTGCTTGAACCTATAAATTATAAACAAGTAACCATTATTTATAAAAAAGTAATCTGTATCGTTATAGTGAACAAATTGATACCAACTTTTTCTTGTACTATAGCAACATATGGTAATACAAATATTGCATTTCTTTTATTACATATCACTTCTTTCAGCATTAATATTTCTGCAACTAAAGTTTTGCCACCACTTGTTGGAAGGGTATAAATAAAATTTTTTCGTATTTTTATTGCATCTGAATTTAAACACTCATCCTGCCAGTCTATAAACATTACATAACGATTCTGAATACATTGAGTAAGTCAAAACTTGTTAATAATATCATTAAAATTTAATAAGTATGAAATAAAATCTACTTACCATAAACTTTATCAATACCTCTCATTTTTAAGAAAAGGTCTTTTACAGGATCTGGTAATCCATAAAATGTAGAATCTTTTTTAAGCTTGCAACGTATTTTGTTTGGAATATTATTATTGTCGCCAATGGTTTGTCTTTTTAATAAATTCTTGTCCTTCCATTTATCATGAGACACACATGTGGAATTCATGATATCGTTGGAAACTGTTTCTTCAATAAGGTTTTCACATTTTGAAATAGGAACCTATTTTATAAAAAAGAATAGGCAATAAAATGTCATTAAATGAGCAAATATTATATTCTCAATTACTCTATCAAGAAATATATAACCTGAATAAGACAATTCGAGGTATCATTTTTTTCATTAGAAGAAATTAGTTGTGTAAATGACACATTAAAAAATGTTTCATCTTCCCAATGATTAGCTTCATTAGTAACCGTACAAGAGGTGTTTAAAATACTTTTCTCCTGAATGCTTGTTTTGGAATCATTATTGTCGGCAGGTGGTAATCTTTCAGATTCCTTATTCATTTCAAATACATCATAAGCACTCCATTCATGTATATTAGGGCTAATAGATGTTTCAATATTTTCCTGTTCTATTTCAATATTCTCGAGTACTGTATCATCCATAGAAATAATTGAATTAATAGCTTGTATTAATGTACAATTCTCATTTTTCGGTATATCTTTGTACATGATCCTTCTTCAAATAATCTAGAGAAAATATAATTTCACTATCAATTGTACGAAACACAAATAAAATAATAAAGAATTTAGAATGTTTTTATTTAGAATGTCAATATGAATGAATGTACACTTACAATAGTCATCTCCCAGTTCAGAAGCTTTTTCTTCTCCCAATTCAAGAACGTTTCTAACCCCACCACTCTACTGCGCATGTGTGTATATGCATCTTCACGCAGTTGCTTTAGAAAGAAAACGGGAGATGATCAAGAGGAGTTATTCATTACAAAATTTAATCAAACTTGATATTGAATATTCAAAATAGCATTTCCATAAAATCTGATTTTTTTGTTGAAATATCAATCAATCATTTATTAATATGTACGCATACGTAATTACATGAAATAAAATTTTAGATTTATCGATTTATCGATTGTTCGTTCACAGCTCGTGAACGAAACGTAAACTTCATTGTAGTAAACAGTGTTGAGAAACCACATGGTTAACTTTACATCGATTTTAAATTGTATTATTAAATCATCTGTATTTTTCGAAAATGTATTCGAAAGACAACTATGATATTTATGTAGGTGGCAAATCAGGCGTTTTCAAAGGTATTCTTCATATAATTATGATAGATATTATTAAGTTTTATCTTAAAAAATTCATTTACCGCTAACGAAAGAAAGAACTGATTACAGAAGCTTTTAACTGATCTTTAATCCCTTGTTTACAGGTGTACAAATAAACAAAGAACAATGTGTAATGCAAAACATACAAAATTTAGTATCTATAACACACAATGACAGTGTCACAACAATCTCATGGGGTGATGATGTTGAAAAAGAAATTTTGATTGCCTGTGGGACGAAAGAAATTAGGAGGTTATATATAATAAGTAATTTATTAATTAAATAGTCATTAAGCTTTTTGACCATATCAATAAGTATCTTAAATCTTTTTGTTTTACAGCGTAAAGGTCTATGATACCGAATGTTCAACATTTACTTGTTCATTTTTCTGTAATGTTGGTACAGGAAAAATAAATGGCATATCAAGATACGATGAGTAAGCGATAACTTTTTTAAAAGTACAATGTCTTTTCCATAAAATTTTTGATAGTAAATTTTGACGTTTATGCAATGAATACTGTAGAGCTATTCTGACTGCAGTCGAGTCTGGAGAAGTAAAGCTATGGCGATTCGATGACGAAGATGGAGTTATAATAAATGCTGGTAAAAATTTAGAGAGAATGCGTCACTCCAAAATAAATAAAAATATAATAGCTACTGGTGGCAACGAGAATATATTAAAATTATTCGATTTAAATAGACAAGAGAAAGTATTCACAGCAAAACGTCTACCCAATGATTGGTTAAATTTGCCAGTGGGTATTTGGATTTCTGATATTGAATACCTTCCTGGCACAGAGCAAGTCGTCACAGTTGGCAAATATGGACATGTATGAAATTTAGTATTTATAAAATATTTTTATTGTTACATTTCAACTTATAAAGATTTAATTGATTCATTGAAGGTACAATTATATGACCCAAAATCACAGAAAAGACCTGTTATAAATTTGGAAGTCAAAGATGAAGCGTTCACAACTTTAGCTGTTACATTGAGAGAAAAGTATGTATAGTATATGACAAGACTGTGAATCATAAAAACAGATCATTAGGATAAATTCACTTTCTCGATTAAGGGATATTGATTAATTTAAAATGAAAATGAAACTTATATTGTAATAATTTGTATTCATGTAGTACTCATAAAGAAGGGCTGGTAATTTTGTAATAATGTCTTTTTTATTGCAGACAAATTATAGTAGGATCTGGTAAAGGTAAAATGAATCTCGTAGATTTGAGAAAACCAGCTAAAGTATTGAATACATACAAAGGATCTGTTGGTGCTGTAACTGGTATAGCTTGCAGTACAACAGAACCTTATCTTGTTAGTGTTAGTTTAGATAGGTATTTACGAATACATCATATGAATACGAAGAAATTATTAAAAAAGGTAAATTACTCTAAAATTTAATTTAAATAATTAGATATTCAATTTATAGAATGATTTACATTTATGAACTTATTTTTATACTGTATTTTAGATTTATTTAACTTCAAGGATGTCATGTATGTTGCTGCGTTCAGATTTTTCATTGCCAGAAGGTACTTCGATGACTAAAAATGTTGAACAAATATGTAGCGAGAGAAATAGTACAAA